ATATATATATATATATTAGATTCTGTAAAGTAAACTAGAAAAACGCATATTGATCAGTAAAACTCAATATTTTATTACTCAATTTATGTTTTCTTAATTAACTATTAAAAAGATTACATATAAATATAAAGAATACGTTCATTATTCTCACCGTTACAGAGCAAAGCACTTGAACTTGCTGCATATAATTCCGCTTGGTATGACTTGGAACCTAAATTTGGTCGCATGCTGTTATTTGTGATACTGAGATCACAGAAGCGAATGACGTTGACTGTCGGGAAAATGATAGATCTCTCGTTACAATGCTACGCAAGAGTAAGATTTATAAACAATATATAGAGATAATTCACGATTCCAATTGTGTATAATATTAACTATAACTGAAGGGAATGATTCTATCGGGTTAGGTTAACTCTCTCTTAAAAAATAAAAACATAAAAAAAGATGATAAAAAAATTTGTTTTCTCTATGGTAAAAGATTGTTATTAAAAGACTATTTAAAAAAAGATTTCTTTTTATCACTTTTATTTACTTCGATTTAAGAAAACGCTGTAAACCAGACCAATTAATAAATTATATTATATTATATTATATAATTATTATATATATTTTATATATATAATATATATATATAAAATTATAATTATATTAAATTTTGTATATATATTTTCCGGATTGATGTTTGCTTATATGATTTTTTTGATCTTAGATTATTTAATGAATATTATATTTTCATAATGAAAGCTAGAATGTACACAACTTATCACTTTTATTAATAATATCATAACAAATTTATTGCATTCTTGTGTATTCTAGATCATGAATTCTTCAGGATCATACCTAACAATGTTATTAGCGATGCAATGAATCTCTCTTGTTATCTCTCTTTGAGTTTCAACTGGTAATCTTAAAATATGTATTCAACAATATGTACAACTCACTAGTACGACAAGCACATATTATAACACAATATATTTTTCCGAATATACATACACCGAAATAATAAGATTATATAATTAATAATAAGACAATTTACAGGATAGTATACCAAATTATTCGAACTCTAGATTGCTGTGAGGATCCCAGTACAAAAGAAATTGCAATGATATATTTCAGATTTCCACGAATACTCCCACCTTTGACTTCCCCTTCCTTTCCGACGCGATTCTTCGAAAACTTTTTCGCTTTTCTTTAGATCAATGCGCATGATTTTTCGACTGACTATAAAGCAGAGTGTACATTGACCTCCGTTCTGCGAGATCGTACATTTTTAAAGAAAATTGCACCATATTGCACGCACAGAACGGAAAGAAGGCCTCGTTTCCCTCCCACCCACAAAATCGCCGACGACATGCATTAAATGGGAATTTTACATACGCGAAACTATGAAAATATTTAATGAGCTGCCCCCTGCTCGGTTTGATGATAGACAAAGGTAGGGCATGTGGCAGGTGACCCTTCGGCATCCCCATCAGTTCATCCGCAGCGTCTACAGATGCACGTCTCGTGCTTCTATCGTTAACAAATCTATTCCGCAATCGTGTTCTATGTTCTGATGTTCCGCATATATTCTAATTGCAAGCGTCGTGCTGATTACATTAATACATTAGTTTCACTAATGAATTAATGACACGGCACATTGAATATTCTCGTATTCTTGGCGATTAACATATTCTCCGACCATAAACCGCCATAACACACCCTTCTTCGAGTTGAAAGTTTACAATCTCGAACAAATATATCTCCCGTTTCCTTCCCGAGGGAGTGGAGATTCTCAAAGAGAAAAGGCCGCGCGCGGCCTATCCTCACTTCGGCTCCGCATCGCCGATTATGTTATAGGGTGTTCGTGTTCTTCAATTGTTCTTCAATGTCCGCCAACACGATTACCCGGTCGATCGAAATCGGACTTCGAGTCGTCGGTATCTGGCCGGGTGCGGCCTACGCGATCGCCAAACGACTCTTCTGGACCGCTACGATGATAGCCGCGCAGATTTTTCAATATCGCCACGTGGCGTTACATCTTAATTCCAAGGACATCTCGCAATTGATGGACGGGCTGAGCGCGACACTGTCGTACAGTTTGTTGTTTGTCAAATTGATTGTTTTCTGGACGAAGCAACGGTATGTCGTCGCTACTCGTGATCGCCCTTCGCTTTACGACGAGTTCGTGCCGCACAAATTTAACGAACTTTCGATAATACGGAGTAATTTACACGCACTCGTAATTATTACTATATCATATCAATTAGAAAATTAATAATTATGTTTCATTGATAAAGAAGCTTCACGAATATTTAAAAATCATCTCGACAAATTATTTTTTTTTCCTAATATATTCAATTTTTATAAATAATTGATTTTAATACCTCGTTATCCTTTCTTACCGTAATCGGTTATTATATTGCGAATATCATTATCATTAATAATACCGATATCTGTTTACATCTTTTGTGAAGCCCATCTTTTGTAATCTACTCTCTTTATCATTTGTCATCTCATACAGACAAGTAGTTTTCCTAATCGTAGTCTTAGAACGGGAAGCACTTTCGCTGTCGCGGTGTTGCACGAAATCGATTCTTCCTAGAATATTCAACGACGTGTTAACGAGCATCACGACAGATTGGGAGGAATGTAGAGACAGTTTGTACAACATGAATAGTGTGGCCAACATGTCGCACCGTTTCTCTAATTTGATCATCGGTCTCCATTCAACGGCCGTGCTGTTTTATGGCATCGGCGTCGTCGCTTTGCGCAACGACGACGTCACTGATACCGCCGATCGCGAACTTTTTCTTAAAATGGAATTACCCTTCGAGAGCGGCACGTCACCGATTTACGAGGTTGTCATGACCACACAGTTTCTGCATCAAATGACGGCCGCCACCGTGATCGGCGTGCTCAGCGCATTACTCGTTACATTGGTAAGTTGGAGCCTCGGAGGCTTTCAACCCTCGGGGGATTTTCAAGTTCCCCTGAAGACTGAGATTACTCTCGGAAATGCATCTCGAGAGGCATCTCGACTCACATTATCGTGATGACTGTTCATGGCAGGATTTCAATTTGTATAAGTAAAATTTATTTAAAGAAAATTTATTTCTAATACCGAATTGTTAAATCATTAAATCATCAAATTTTACGCAAAATTTATTTGCTTTCTTTCAATATTAAAAATGCTGATTATTATTCTATGTTACAAAATGATATCTTCCTGAGATTTTGGATTATTAATTAATTTAAGAACTTTGAAGAAATCCTCATTTCAACTAAAAATTAAGAAAATATTTATTACTATTATATATTTAAATATTTTTTTTGTAGTATCAAATTTTAAGAATCTATCATATACAACAACAGATAACAAAATCCAATCCGTAGGTGCTCCATGCAGGTGGTCAGATAGACATTTTACGGGAAAAATTATTAGAAATTTTGCCAAAGGAAAAGAAACCAACTATTTCCGCGATCACGATGGGCTCGTTAATTCGAAAGCATCAAAATATCATCGTATTCACCGAGAAAATTGAAAGTCTATATTCCTATATCGCGCTAGCCCAATTCATATCAAATACCCTCGTTATATGCTGCTTAGGCTTTATCATCGTAAATGTAAGTATTTTTCATGGCTTTCACCGTGTAAATTGATAATTACATTTCTGAATTACTTCGATGAGACATATATATATCGAACACATACGTGAATCCAGTTATATAATATCTGATAATTTATAATTATAATATCTTTACAAAAATGCATACGACGGAGTGCACACAATGTGCGATAGAAAGAGAAAAAGATATGCAATCCTGTATTTCAATATTTTCAATATTTTCAATATTTTCAATGTAGTCGATCGGTGGTGATCAAGGCTCCTCTATGTTGGTCAGATCTCTTTTATTTTATGTCGTCATTAATTTAGAAGCATTTATTTTTTGTTTCGCCGGCGAATATCTAAGCGTCAAGGTAAGCAATTCCAGTTCATTTTACTGTAACAATTATCTGTTCTTGCGTTCAGAATTTTTGCTCCGTTTTAATTTTCAGAGCAAATTGATTGGCGACGCAGCATATGAATCTCTTTGGTACGACTTGACTCCCAGCGAGAATCGAATCCTGCTCTTCCTGATAATGAGATCGCAAAAACAATTAACGATTACAGTCGGCAGATTCACGAATCTTTCTCTGCAACAGTTCGCGAACGTAAGTTTCATCGTCAATTAGCATATACATTAAAATTTTGCATATCGTTATATTTAAAACGTGTAAATTAAATTTTTATTAAATAACTACAATTTTTATTTTTATGCATATAGCAATATTATTTATCGTAGATCATTAAATCGTCAGCGTCATACGTCTCTGTACTGCATGCGTTGTAACGTTGATTAAGTTTATCAATATTAAATTATCGATATCAATGAAAATGTGTCAATGTGAAAATAGTTATCCATAATATAAAATTACTCTATTTTTAATAAAATCAGTATTACTTGAAAACAAAGTATTCTCTCGCTTAGCATCCTTCTACTGCAATAATATTTACGGTAATATTATTAGACACGCACACTTTACCGATAGCTCGCTGCTGAAAATATGCTGTTGCTTCCGAGAACGAGAGGAGTAGGAAAATATTTTTCGTGAAGCTTTTTTTTTTTTTGAAGGCACATCATGGGCTTTCATCCCCTAAAAGAACTTTGAAACCGTCGTCCCGCGCTAAATTGCGGAAGTTATCCCGACGCAGTGAGGGCTGGCTCTCCCTCCTTTTCGTTGTGCACAACTGTGTCCCATTCTATCGCGCGATCATGCCAGATGGTCACAACGAACAGATCGCAACGCCAACGAAATTACACTAGGATTACTTAGCGCTATTTCGCGCATACAATCAGGACGCTTTCACGTGACAGCGGGAACCAGCCTGCAGGGACAATTTTATTAGAGACGACTGTGTGCAACACGAGCTACTATAATCCTATCGTCCCTCGCGACCACTCAATTTGCAAACTTCGAGTTTACACCCGGTACGAGCAAAGAGAATTTACACCTCGCGTTATCTAACATAAAATATACAAATATATCAAGGTAATATAATATAAAATTAAGGGGCGATTTAAATTTCGCTTGCTCGTAATATATGTATATATATATATAACTCGCTAAAAATTTATATAAAAATAGTTAATAAAAAATAAAACTGTTATAAATCATGAATGTTTCAGGATCATATTTATACTTTGATAACATTGACGTAATGAGCGTCACATCCATTTCATCAATTTTCTCAAACAATATTTATAAAGTACATGTCAGATCAATGTGCAAATTATTTAGAGAAGACACACGTTATAACGCAAAGCTATTTTTTCAAGTACAGTATGGAATAATTTAAAAAGCATAGAACTAAAATATATCAAGCTCTGAAATTGAAAGGATGTAATGTACACATAGTTGAAATTAGGCAAAAAAAATTTGAAGGAATTCAATATTTTTCAAATAAATATCTCTCTAATATTGACACTGTTAAATCCTTTTCAAATGACATTGCGAGACATAGGTATATAACCCAATTTTATTTCGTAATAAACTACTTACTTTTTTATATTAATCATCGTGTACAGATTGATTAATTTTCGTCGAAAATTGCTACGGTATCGAAGCACAGATGTATGTACACGCTCTCTCGTAGCATCACGCTCAATATTTTCTGTTTCTTCGTCGAGATCTCCTTATCCTCTAGGTTATAAAAATTTCCCCGAGAGTCTCCAAGTCCATATTCGTCATTGGACGTACATTGCCCCGCCTACATCCGCATGCATATTTAAGATAAGCAATAGCGTATTATGGTCATACCAAACTGAAGAAAGAGAAATAATCCTACCTGTTCTTTCCTTTTATCAAAATGAGAGGAGAAGCAACGACGAATGCGTTTGCAATCTACGCGCGGTACACACAAATATTTAATGCAAAACTCCTATTGGGCTAGGGGGGGGGGGTTGTCCTAGGGGTGCGTCTGTATGATGACCTCTTGCGACTTCCCAGTCTTTACACGGATATTCGCAGTTATAATATCGAAATATCGCTGACGAAAAATATACATATTTAGCGAAACACATTTCTTTTTCGTTTCTTTTCTTATATTCCGTTTACTTTCACGACGGTATTCTTTTGTACGTATACATATCTTAATAGATTTGTATATACGAGCGACCATAAGAACAAATGTAAAATCATGACGCGTAACAGTACAATTAATCGCACTTTGAAATTTATATTATGTTTGTTCGGCATCTGGCCAGATATGTCTTGTGCTATATTATGTAGAACATTTTGGGCCATCACAGCAATAATTTTTATAATCTGTCAGTATCGGTATCTCTCATTATATTTTCGTACTGACGATATATTTGAATTAGTGGACTGCATCAGTAGCTTTGTATGGTACTTTAAATTAATGGGCAAATTAATTTTCTTTTCGATAAATCAACGGTAAGTAACGCGGAACAGCGCATAATTAATTAATTAAATGATATAAAATATATTCCAGTAAACATGTGCTGAAATTTTTGTTATTGTCCATTAATTTTATCGAAACATATTCTATCTGTGCCTAAAATGTGTACTCTTATTCATCCACAGTGTATCAGTTCGAATTTTTTTTTACTTTCTTTTTTTCTACATTGTCATACAATTTTTAAAAATAAGAAAGAAAGGGAAGTTAAAATTTTGACGCACAACGTTTTACGATTCAAAGATACAGAAATTATTAATTCATAGTATAATCTAGATTTATAATATAGAACACTCAATGAAGTTTTAACGATGATGACGAAAGATTGGAAGGATTGCGCTAAGAGTGACATCGAGACACGGCAGGCATTAAGCAAGGCAAAAATATCGGATCGCGTTGCCAATATCGTCATCGTTTTTCAGACAATTGCCGTGCTCTCATATGGCACTGGCATTGTCTTAGCTGATGTTGATGTCACCGATCAAACAATCAGATTGCCCCACATTCATAAAATGGATTTGCCCTTCCACATAAGTACACAACGTATGTATAGATTTATAGTAGCCTCCGAACTGATATATGTTACCATGGCTGGCTGGTGTTCGGGTTTATTAAACGTTTTATTATTAACGTTGGTAAGTTGCGAGTACAAGTAATAAACATAAAACGTAAATCTATAATTATTTAAAAATAAATCTATAATTATTTAAAAATAAATACAAATGTCTTGGAGCAAAAAGTTGATTCTGCATTTACTCTGCATTTACTCTGTCGATATCAATTCGATGCAATTTGTCATAGACTAATAAAATTACTTTTGCTCTTTACTATAACTTAAATATAAATCTTTTCACTTTCAAAGATGCTGGACTCTTAATTTTTTAGAGCTTGCACGTAGGTGGCCAAATAGATATTGTATGTTACTGGCTGACGAAATTGGTGCCTGAATCAAACATGAAAGAAACCGAGTCTGTTGACGTTACAATATACAAAATTATCCAGAAACATCAAAAAATCATTTACTTCTCAAAAAAGATTGAAAAGATATATACATTTATCGCATTAATATTATTTGTAACAAACATGATAATGATTTGTTTCTTAGGATTTTTGTTTGTAACCGTAAGTATAAAGCATATATTAAATATTAGAGATACACATTTTCTTATATATTTGCATCAGGCACATCTTGTTAATCTCTTCATATTTTATATTGCATATAAAATGTTGCATTAATAAACTAATTATTAAGCGCAATTTTGTTATATATAATTTTGTTATAAACTGTTATATTTATACTATATATCTTGATATAGGCGCTGGATAATCCTGATGCAATGGAGAAAATAGCGAGATCTTTTTCATTTTTTGGTGTAACAAATATCGAGGCATTCATATTTTGTTATGCGGGAGAATATATAATAAATAAGGTTAGTGAAAACAAAATCGATAAGTATTATTAATAAACGATACATATTGTAATCTTTCTCTTATAAATGTAGATATCGTGTATTTTATAAATTCAGAGAGAGATTATACTGTCTCTTTCATCGTTTTAATAAAAAAAAAAAATAAAATTGTTGAAAAACAAACATGTATTAGATTCTACGATAAATAAACAATAAAAACAGATTGAACAATAAAGTCAGCGCTTTATAACTCAATTTGTGTGTTTTTTTTTTTAATCAATTATTAAGAAGATTACGTAAAAAAATATTTTCATCATTTTTATCTTTGCAGAGCGATGCACTTGAACTTGCTGCGTACAATTGTGCTTGGTATGATTTAGAACCTAAACTCAGTCGCATGGTGTTATTCGTGATATTGAGAGCGCAGAAGCAATTGACGCTCACTGTCGGAAAAATGACGAATCTCTCGTTACAATGCTTCGCAACAGTGAGATTATGCACAATACATAAGATAATTCACGATCCTAATTGTATAATATTCACCACAATTATGCAGAGTAATTCTATTGGGTTAGGTTATAATTCTTTGTTAAACTTAAACAGAAAAAATGATAAAGGAAAATCTTTTACTGTTTAGTAAAAGAAACGGTGAAAGATTTTCTATCGCTTTTATTAAAAACGCTTTTATTTTACGTTTATTTAAAAAAAAAGTTGCAATCCAGCCCAGTTATTAGAATTATCCTGCCTATATCTTTCGGATTTACGCTTACTTATATAGGTTTTTTTTTCATTGTGCATAGATTAATGAATATTACATTCTCACGGCGATAACTTGAGTACATCGTATGACGTATCATCATCTGTCAATAATAATATATTCTGATATATGCCTTGTTATAGATCATGAATTCTTCGGGATCATACATGACAATGCTATTAGCGATGCAATGAGCATCTCTCGTCTCTCTCTTTCTCTCAGTTTCAACTGATGATCCTAAAGTATGTATTTAGCTATATAAACTCACTAGTTAGACAAACGCATATTGTAACATAGCATATTTTTTCGAATATATATATTCCAAAAAATAATGTAAAATAATGTAATTAGTAATAAGAAAATTTACAAAATGTTAAATTATTATATATATTTATAAAAATTATTTGAACTCTAAGTTGCAGTGCGAGATCCTAGCACAAAAAGAGATTGGTGATGTATCTCCAATTTTCACAAATTCCGATCTCTCTCTCTCTC